CTCACGCTAGGAAGAGAAAATGGGATGATCTCACGGATGAGGAGAAGCAAGATGCGGGTGGCTCAGGTTTACAAAACCCTAAACCCTAAACCCTAAACGCTAAACCCTAAACCCTAAACCCTAAACCGTAAACCCAAAACCCTAAACCCTAAACCCGAAAACCCTAAGCCCTCATGGCTTCACAACCACCCGCGCACCCATACAAGAGGCACGCCCCTGAACCTTCAAAGGCCCTCTGCAACCTGGAAGCCGGCCCCAAACCCGAAACCCTAAAACTTGCTTGGTAGCTTGCGGTTTTCGTGATAGGAGGGATTTGGTATAGTTAAATATTAGGCAGGGCTTTGTGAATTTGGATGTTCGAATGTAGTTGCGGGGGTGGCGGGCGTTGTTGGGATCACAAAATATCAGAAACTACGTGTCTGTAACCATTTCGGCATCTTGAAAAAAGACATCGCGCTGTGAACCCTGAAGTCTAAGTTTCGGAGCCCCTAAACCTCGAATATGAACTTGACAGTCAGGCATTGAAGTCGATGAGAGGAAGACTGCAAATCCAGCACCTCAAGTACCCAAATCTCGCCAAGGAAGGGAAGAGGCGACGGTACTGGTGGACGCCCTGGAGGACATGCCGCACGAATGTTGCGTCCTGCATCTCGTCCCATGCATTCCTACTATGGATCTTGAACGTCTGACTTCGCAGGACAAGCCAAAGGCTATGGCATTATCGACGTGGCATCTGAGCCTGTAGCTGGGTTTGCGTGCTCCAGACGTTGAAGGGTTGTGTTAAGTTGTATAAAGGTAGTTTGGGGTTAGTACGGCTTTGGAGGATGTAGTTGATATTGTTCAGGTCGAGTTGTAGATGTAGCAGCTGGCGAGTTTGCGCAGCTAAAGTCTTCCTGGTGGACAGTGGCATTATTGAGACTTTTAGTTCTGATGGGCTCGGAGAAGTTGTTTGCGTCAAAGGAGCAGCGTGCGAAGTCGGGTTGAATGGAAAGGGGCATGAGGTCATATGGACCCGAGCCTCCAGTTGCTTGCTGCACGCAAGCTGCACACAAACCGACGACGAAGCGGATCTTGCTGAGATTCTCTCTGCGTCCGATGAAAGGATTGTGGTGCAGTGGCCGTAGTTGTTGCATGTTTCTGTTGGCCAGTATCGCATATGTTGGGCTGTCAGTTTACTTACTGCCATGGTCAACACTGGTGTGGATGCGAGGGTTTTGCTGCCAATGCAGGGATTGTGGTAAATATTAATGCGAACAACAATCAACACAAAGAACGCACGAAAACAATTTTGACAGTTCAAGTGTAGGGATGAGGTTCTGCGAACAGATTGCACTTGCAAGCGCACGCGCGTCCAACAAGTACAGCAATCAACCCACAAAAACATTAACGCGAACAACAATCAACAGAAAGAACGCACGAAAACAAGTTTGACAGTTCAAGTGTAGGGATGAGGTTCTGCGAACAGATTGCACTTGCAAGCGCACGCGCGTCCAACAAGTACAGCAATCAACCCACAAAAACATTAACGCGAACAACCATCAACACAAAGAACGCACGAAAACAATTTTGACAGATCAAGTGTAGGGATGAGGTTCTGCGAACAGATTGCACTTGCAAGCGCACGCGCGTCCAACAAGTACAGCAATCAACCCACAAAAACATTAACGCGAACAACAATCAACACAAAGAACGCACGAAAACAATTTTGACAGATCAAGTGTAGGGATGAGGTTCTGCGGCGGGTTCAACAAATACAGGCAACCAGCTCACAAGAATATCAATGCGAACATTTTTCATAAACAAATTTTAGCATGTATTAAACCTTCTGACGCGTATTGTGTAGCTTCAGTGTGAGCATAAACAATAAGTTTTGCTTTGCTTCTTAGTACTGCCCATAGAAACTAAGCAAAAAGAACCCTAAAGGTATCAGCCTCATATATATATATATATATTTCCATATGGTACCCCCCCCCCAGTGACCTACCCTTTTTCGCCTTGTCTTAAGTCATCTAGCTGCACTGCAAGCAAACTCGGTGTGCAATATAGCGTGTTTCTAAGGGCGTAGACTAAAATGAAACTAAAATCCGAATACACGGGCAATTAAAAAACCCAAAACACCAAACCAAAAAAACCAAAAAAACCAAAACCAAAAAAACCAAAAAAACAAAAACCAAAAAAACAAAAAAAAAAAAAAAAAAAAAAACAAGAAAACCAATTTTCGGGAACTCTCAGGAATCCCTACGAGGCTTCTCCAAGAGTTCCGGAAAATTGTTGTTTTTGTTTTTTTTGTTTTTTTGGTTTTGGTTTTTTTGGTTTTGGTATTTTGGTTTTGTTGGTTCGCCTTTACGTGGCAATAACTACGCATTGTTAGGTGTGTTTTTGTACTTGCGAATTTGCTTGTGCATGGCCTTCACTAAGTACTTTTCTAGGAAGATTGTGCATTTTTAAGCTTGCTTCTGCAAATTGTGCCTTTCGGACATAGTATATAAGTGGTCTTCATGAAATACTTCAGAAACAAAGATTTCATTGTTATGCAAGTAGAATCGCTTCTATTGCTGTTAGTGTTTATTTCGTATTTTGGTTGAGTATGGTCCTTTAAATTGTAGTCACTTGAGTCAAATTGGGCGCTATTTCATGAATATGTAAACATAAGATATTTCAGTGGACTTTTCAGATAGTATTTGATGAATACTTTGCCTAGCACACATTCTATTTATGTACAAAGCAGTATTCTTGTGCATGGCCTTTACTAACTATATTTCTAAGAAGGCATATAAGAGGTCTTTATTTAGTGCTTGAGAAGTCTTTTACATTGTTATGTAAGTAGAACCGCTTCTATTTCCATTAGCGTTTATTGCAAATTTTAGTTGGGTATGGTATTTTGAATAGTGTTCTATTTCCATTCGTTGTTATTTCACATTTTGGTTGGGTCTGGTATTTTAAATAGTGTTCATTTGAGTCAGATTGGGCTATTTACCTAATACTTACTCTAGTAGATAAATCGCATAGAATGATGATTTCAAAACAAGAAATATTTCATGAATATGTAAAACATAAGTTAGTACAGTGTACTTTTCAGATATGGTTTATACTTTGCCTAGTACAAATTCGTTTTTTATGTACAGAGCAGTATTCTTGTGCTATGGCCTTTACTAACTACTTTTCTAGGAAGGTATATAAGTGGTCTTTAGTACTTGAGAAGTCTTTTACATTGTTATTTAAGTAGAATCGCTTCCGTTGCCGTTCGTGTTTATTTCATATTTAGTTGAGTATGGTATTGTGAATAGTATTCGCTTGAGTCAGATTGGGCTATTTACTTAATACTCCAGGAGTTAAATTCGCATACAATAATAAGCACAATGTTTCATGAATATGTAAACATAAGGTATTTTAGTGGACTTGTCAGATAGTATTTGATTAATTCTTTGCCTAGTACAAACACAATTGTATATACAAAAAACATATTAGTTGCCCAACAAAACATTATTTGCCAGTTAAACGCACAATTTGCCTAGAAAAGCCAAAGATCTAAAGACCTCATTGTCCGCTTCAGATTCAAAATATAGATTAATCCAATGCTGGCTTATCGGGGCCTGCGAGACGCGACTTTTGGGCCTTCGTTATTTTTTTTGTAAAAAAGGTCTAAAAAGGGTAGGTCGCCGGGGGGGGGTAGCATACAGATATATGTATATATCTTTGCCAGAGAAAGGAGATCTCATGCTTGCTGTAAACCCGCAATGGGCACACATAGAGTGCGCCCAAACAGTTAGAATACTTTCCCTTGAAGTAGAATCTCTCTGAAGCAGCGTTTGTTTCTTCTTTCTGAAGCACCAAGGAATCCCAGCTGCCGACGCGAAAGGGTTGCTGTTTCGTTTGAGAGTCTTCCTGCGCGAGTTTCCTAGGTGGTAGCAGCCCCTTCCTTACCTTTCAGGTTTCCCGTGAAATTTGGAACAGACAAAGGTTTTCCATTCTTTGCAAACAGAACAGAAGTTCAACCACTGACATTTTCTTCTTTCATCGAGTGCGATTCTGCCAGCAAAGACCCCAAGCCGTGAGAGACCTTGTGACACGAAGGAGCCCTCCAATGGGTCCCGGAGCACGTGCAAAACAAGGAGACCTCCAAGCGCCCCAGACGGCATTGCATCGTCACAGAACATCCTTCAAGAGACATCCCAGAGCCGACAAGGGGAAGCTGGACGAGATGAGTGAGGACCCAAAAGCGATGACAGCTTCCTATCTCGCGAGCCCAGGTCCAAAAGCGATGGCAGTTTCCGGGACAATGAGCGCGGGGAGCGCGACGTTCATCTAAAATGCAAGTAGGCCTCGATAAAAAAGAGAAAATGTTCACAGCGAGCGCCTGCACAGTGTTGCCGACCGAGCCTTTCTTACCTTTTGCGTCGGACCCACTTAGTGTTGACACACTGATTGGGGAAATAAAGGAGTTATGTTGTCTTGCGCTTGAAAAGCATCACAAAGCATGTTTTGCGTGAAGTTCAGCTTCAGACATGGACATCCAGCAATGCGGTGCAAGACCCAGCTTCTTTTTTCAACTCAACTGCAGACTCAGCCGAGAAGCATCCAGAAAGAATGGTGGATCCGGAAGAGAGCTCATGGATCGTCTTGCGCTCCGTGTTTTCTCCAAAACTACTTGCACTTCGAGCTCTGTGTCCTCTGATGAGAAGGAGAACAAGCATTAACAAGCATTGCAACTGACCAGGCCAAACAGAGTTTCATCACGTGTCACTGAACACAGAGTTTCACAAAGAGAGAACCGGCGGTGCAACAAAAACCGCCAGGCGTCGGTGACAGCTTTGGCTGTTATTGGTGTCGGCGGGTGATCCAGGAAATCACATCCTGGCATGGTAGACATCAGTGACATCAGTGATTTCAGCATTTCCAGGCCCGGAACTCTGCACGCATGCCTGTGCCCACCAAGATCAACGGGAAGTTGCATCTCCAAAAACCGTGTAGCAAGTAGTGCCTGCAGGGCGCAGTCCCTTCTACAAGCCGGTAGATGCTGTGGAACCTTTCCGGGCCGACTGCCTCTCCAGCATCCGCAATACAACCCTGCCGGGCATCGATGAAATGCTCTCCACTGCCATGGCCTTCCTGCGAACAAACACCAGGGGGGCGGGGGGAGGGGGGGGGGGTCATTTTTGTGTTGGGGCAGAGGACATCTTGCTTTTTACTGCAACAGCACAAGCTACATGATACATCATGGTACATCACCGGCACCCCCCCTGGCAGCTCGTAGCCTGAGTGTCATGGAGAGGGTGCCGACCGTGCAGAAGGATAAGGCAGAAATGAAGGCAACGATCACAACGAATGTGTAGTTGACTCGGCAGTTCTGGTCTTCAGCGATGTGCCAGGCTTCACAGGGAACGCCTTGCATGCCAAACACTTCCACAAAAGCCCGCCGTGATTTCAATCGCAATTCCGGCAGAAACACATACAACTTTGCAAAAAAAACAACTGGAATGACTTTTATTGTAACAACCAATGTTGCTCTTTGTGGCTTGGGCGCATGTGGCCTTGTTGGGCGGCCTGACTGCATTCTTTGAACAGTTGAAGCTGAGGACTGCATAGCCTTTCACATTGGGCATCGTCGACATGCCACTGAGCCCCAGGAACTTGTCATCATTCTCTGAGATCTGCAAGTTCCCTCCGACACTCAAGTCGGAAGACAAGCCGCTCAAGTCACGAAGAGCTGGGTTGGAGCTCACCTGAAAGTCTCCTTTCACTGTTCGCAGCTGCCCGAGGCCAGATATGTCCAGCAAGACCTCATTCTCAATTATGTTGATGTCGCCTGCCACAGTCTTGAGCATATTGAAGCTCGATAGCTCACGCAAAGCCCCGTTGTAAGCCAGCCGAAGCTCGCCGTCGATCTCTGTCGCATTGGGCATCAGGACGTCTTTCAGCTGATGGTTTGCCACAAAAGCAATGCTGCCAGTAGAGGTAACAGGTGTAGCGAACCGCTCCAGCTGGTCATTCCAAGCCACTTCCAAATTGGCCATGGACGACAAACTGGGCAGCTCGATTCGAGTCATATTGTCGTTGTCCCAGAGCTTGAGGTCGCCCCCAAGGGAAAGGAGCTGCGGAAGTTCTAACTCTTCCAACCTGTCATTGTGTTTGACGTCAGCCGCGCCATGAACGACTGACAGGTTCGCGAGGCACACCGTCTTCAGTGTCGGGTTGTCGATCACCGACAGGCGTCCAATCCTAAGGTGAATCGAGCGAGAAGCAAGTGCTATGCTGAAGCTACAGAGACGTCGACAGGACATAGAGGCTATGACTTACTTGCTGGTCCCACAGCTCGTGCAACTGACATCTTCTGCCTTCAAGCTTGACGCACGCTCGAAGTCACTGCCGTTTCATCTCGCAGAGCTTTCCTCTTCGACTCGGCACTCGTGCAGAGCTCTGCCGGTAAGTCTTCTCCATGCCTTCTACTGATGTTAACATCGTGAGAAAAGCCACAGGGTCCCAGCCGACGGGTCTCAGAAGAGTTGTAACAGGAGGCTGAGTAGCCGAGAAATCGCAAGAGTGTGCCGAGACACATGCGCATGTTGTGAAGCATGCCGCGAAGCATGCCGTGAAGCTTCACACTCTGTTCTTGCCAGCCCAAGAGTCGAAGTCAGGTTGTCAAGTCCACGGACCTTGTTGGCACAAGCATTTTGATGCTGGAAGATGTTGGAGGGCTGTCTCACGTCGAGGCAAGCGCAACAAAATTGATGATTTGAGCCTGCCTCCAGCATGGCTCCGTTGTAACTTAGCTCGAAAGTTCCTGAGATTTCGCGAATGGCGGACAGCATGTTCAGGTTGGTCATGTTGTCATTGTCCTGCTGCAGATGCAAGCAGACCCGGGATCATGTGAGATGTGCATGCCTATGAAAGGAACATGAGCCAGCAACGCTACTACAAGTGACGAGAGCTCTCTAGTTTGTGTGATCTACTTGTAGTCTGCAATCCTACACCGGGCGCTCCTTGATCGTCAAGCCTCCTCCGATCAGTTCGAGGGACTCCATTCCAGAACCCGCGTTCGCGGCTTCGTTCCAGATCACCTCCCCAGACTTCCCCGACAAATCCCAGTGCACCGAACACGAAAGCAACGAGGGATTTGGCCAACAGCTTCAACTGCAAGACAGCCTGCGGGCTCCTGAGCCAGTTTGTTTGGGGAAACTGCACTGAACACAACCCCACTTTAAGAACACCCATGGACACAGCAAAGGTTGCTAGGCCCATCAACCACCGGCAAGGCTCACACTAACTGATACAAGCAGTTGGGACAGTTTCAGAGTTTTCTATTCAATTGCCTCCACATTTCCATCAACCATCTTCAAGCGAGGCATTCCTCAACACAGCTGCATGAAACTCACGCCCATGCTGCACGATGCTGCACACTGCACACTGCTGCAACCTGCAGGTAAGGCTCGTGGCATGCTCTGCAGGCGGCTGTTTCCGCGAATTGAAAAATCCCTGCCTACACGGCTCAGTGAATCAAATCCTGAGAGTATCTCAAGCTGGTCGTTGTGATGTACCCTCAAGAACTTGCCAATGACCGTCAAGTTGGTGAAGCCAACCAAATGTTGCACACCTCTGTTGCCGATGATGTTGACGGATCCCCCCACCACCTGCAAACCCGACAAACCTGACATATCCTGAAGCGCCGAGTTGTAGCGGATTTCCACGTTGCCACCAACGTGTTGGATTCCTGCCAGCATGTCCAGGTTTGTAAGCACCTTGTCGTCTGTAACGATAAGATCATTTTCAACCACGTGGATGCTTCTTAGCTGGTCATCGCTGATCGCAACTCCGTGAAGAAAGGCGCCCGAGCTTGTGAGTATTAGCTCTGGCGGGATCAAGCGCCAGCCAAAACAAGTCCTCACGATTCTGGTTCCCGATTTCCGATGCAACAAGGTTACCCTGAAAGCCCCCTTACACCCCCCTTACAACACCCCCGTTGCACCCCCTTTTACACCCCCCTGACACTCCCCTGAAACCCCCCTTAGAACCCCCCTTATACACCCCCCTTACACAACCTTACACCAGATGTCCTGGTTCATCATCTTAATCCATGACCATCTTAACCCACGAACCACTACACAACCAGAAAAGGGAGATTCGTGCGACAAGTCACAACCTCAAAGTTGAGTTGAAGATGGGCAAGTCTTGTGCTGAACCGCATGCCAGCACTGCGCAGGAGAGCAGCCCATGCAATGCGCGGATCATAAACAATGCCCAGCTTCAAATTTGCGTATGTTATGTGGTGCAAACACGGCAACAAGCACAGAATCAACACTTGGGGGTGTGATATGGAAGATTGTGCCACGGAATTCGCCTGCTCACCCATACTATTACGTTTGCCATGCCTGCAGGCCAAGAACGCAACAGGGAGCAGAAATCCGCGACAATGGCAGTGGGCACACGTGACACGGTGCTTTGTGGCGAGCACTGCGGCGTGCCTGCTGCTCAGAGCAAGAGAACTTGCAGTGCGCAGCCCATGTTTCGGGCCGATCCGGGTCCTGCACTGTGTCCGCACATTCTCACAGAGTGCAGACAACACGCAGTCATTCCATTGCTCCTCTCGTGTTCCCCTCCTGCTTTATGACTCATGACTTGTAATGGGACTAAAACAAACATGGAAAAGCTCTTAATCCAACGCCTGGTGACAAGAGGCTGTGAGTTTTCCATGCTCCCTTTTCGCTGTAGAACAAGGCCGGACTTGATCATACAAGCACACTTCATGGCTACATGAAACCCTCCGCACTTCACACTCACCACCGGGTTGAGTCACATCACCCCGTGCGAAGTCAGCGCCTTCGTGATTCGCAGCGTACGCGTGCTGTCGCACCACCGACTGTGATTTTGATGCCAAATCCCAATGAGTATCGATGGCGACGAATATGCTGCTATGCTGTTGATGGGTCTCTATTTCCATACATAGATCGTTTCGTTGTGGAAGCTGCAAGATGTAGGGTGACGGGCGAATCAGCCAAGCATGACTCAGCAAACATGAGGACAAATCGGAAAGCAGGAAAGGGCAAATCAGGGCACGAATCAGCAAACCCAACCCAACCTAATCACCCAACCTAGGGGAACCTAACCAAACCGACCCCAACCGAACCGTAACATGCCCCAAGCTAACCCAACCTAACCTAACCTACCCTAAGGTAAGATGATGGGGTTTAAGGGTGTGCTTTAGAAAACAAAGTCACGAACAACATCTTTTTTCTGTGCATTCTGCTACTGCAGGTCCTAAAGAAACCCTTTTTTGCATCCAGGCTTGAGTGAGCGTGCCGGGAAAGAGCTCATGCTGCCCAGGTTCGTTGTAAACCCATCGCAGACAAGCACACCAAAAGAAGCAGACCTAAAGAAACCCTAAACCCTAAAACCCTAAAATCCCAAGCCCTAAACCGCTACAAAGTCCCTTAACCCTAAACCCGAAAACTCCCTGAACCCCAAACCCTAAAAAAGAACCTTGACCCGGAACCCTAAAAAGGACCCTGAGCCTAAGCCCTTAAAAACCCAAATCCAAAAAAAAAAACTAAACCCTAAACCCAGCCCTAAACCCAAAAAACCCTAAACCCTAAAAACCCCTAAACCCTAAACCCTTTAAAAAACCCTAAACCCCAAAAAAACCTTAACCCCTGAAAGCCGATAAAAAGGTAGTCGAGAAGTCGAATAAACCCGAAAAGCGGCAGGAAGAGCAATACGTGGTAACCAGAAACATCGAAGCGACTGGATCTCCTAAAACCCTCAAACCTTATGATTTTCTTAGGGCTGTCGCGGGGACGAGCCCCCTTTCCTCCCCGCGATTGTCACCTCTGTGGCTTCGGGCCACTCCCTTCTACGCACTGGGCATCTGCTCCCCCATGTTCGTCTTTCTTCTTCTTCTTCTTCTTCTTCTTCTTCTTCTTCTTCTTCTTCTTCTTCTTCTTCTTCTTCTTCTGCTTTTGCACTGCGCCCTCTCCCTCCCATCCCTGTTGAAGGAAGTCCTCTGGACACGCAGCCAGCGCCTCCGAAGCATTCCATGCCTTGGCATCGATAAGTGCCCAACTGGTTTTCAGAATTCTGAACCGTTTCGGGCAGGCGGGATAGCTGTCAGGCAAGGATCTGGTTCAATGCACTTCTGCATGAAGGGGTCGCAAGACAATCCGTTCCTTAGCTGCTCAGGACATGCAAAGCATGCTGCAGACATCAAAGATAGACTTTCCAGCTTCCATGGTCAGGAAGTGCTGAAGCTCATAGGCCATCCAAGTTGCGAGCAAAGATCATTGTGCACGCACCTGTCACACACCTGCATGCTTGTATAGGGAAGCAGTAGCATGTGTGCCAAGCAAGAAAGCATGGGCACCATACCAACCTGGCCTGCAAAGTGCCTTGTTGCAGCTCTGGGCAAGCTGCGCTCGGGGCACCCGCAGCAGGCACCAGAAAAAGCGCTCGCCACATCAGCGGCAGAGGTGGTGTCTGCTGAGCCCTTGGAAAGTAAGCTTAAGTAAGCCTGTCTCAATGCAGCCCCTTTTGGCGTGTTGGACGCAGGAAGACACAAGTGCACCATCACACCAAACATGCATCATGCCAAATCAGGCAGAGTTGAACTGAACGGGGAGTGATGGCCGGACTTGGCAAGATCACACTGACCACATCATGGCCTGGAAAGCCTGTCAGCTGCGTGGAACGGCTCAGCTGGCAACTTCACAAGAAGCATGTGTCCGGTTCAAGTTCGGACATGTGTGGCTGCCGAGTGCGTGTTCAAGTTAGCCGGAAGTCTCTGGAGCGTGCTCTACGACTGCTCAACTGACAATATACTCTGCATTCTACATGGTTAGTCCACGTCGTTGCAGCATGTTGGGTCAGCGCTGTTCGTACGATTCGTCGAGGCAAGTCGAACAGATGGCGACGCCACAGGACCAAGAAGAAACAAGCCCACTGGGTCAACTCCAAGACCGAACCTTCCGAACTCAGGGCCATTACTTCCTCCCTTTTGACTTTTGAGCCCGCGAGCAAGAGTCTGGGAGTGTCTTGCCGCGGCCATCTCACTCTGGCGTTTGGGGCAATGCCCCGTGCATCATGCTTGCCTCGCCGTCCAGTCACGTGCCTCTAAGCTTCCTGGTGCCGCTTTAATTGCAGCCACGCAACGTGCTTTTTGCATCGCCTTGGGGGAAGCCTGGCAGCACATGCACCAAGCTTCGGCCAAGCTGGCGGTCTGCACAACTAGGTTTAGCAAGGAAAAACAATGCCAGCCTGCAGCAAGATTCGGCCAGTTCAGCTCGGCAGCACAGAAGCCAAACCTTGCGCCCGAACTCGCTGGAACAGCGCGTTCCACCTCATCCGTTACACCCGTCAAGAACTGCACGAACTTCAGATTTATTGGCACTCTGTCCGTCTGGGGACATGCTGTAAGTTGAGATGCACTTTCCCCTTCTACGTGAGGCTTCTGGGAAACCACGCTGGTCTTGGCTAAGCTCTTGCAGCTCCTGTCCAGGGCGATGCAGTAGTTGAGCAAAAGCAGAAAAAAAACGCTTGATATGTGAAAACTCGGCGTCGCCTTCTGAACATCCACGCATGATACGGATCCGCATCAGTCAGAAAAAGACAGTGATTCGGTGCTAGTCTACACGTCGCGACCTACAAGTAAAGGCAAGACAATGCGCATAAGGCAACGACGTCGGAACTACACGTGGTCAACTCCGACGTGTCTCCATGCGTCTCCTCCACCGCAGAGGAAGAAAGCGTCGGCGGCTGGAGGGCGGACAGGACTTGCCGTGACTCGCGCCCCCAGAAACGATGATTGACAAGAAGCGAGATCCTCAGACAGGATTTTAGCAGGCCACAGGCATAGGCCTAGAACCGTGTGGTGACTGAGCACGCAGCATGATCCTTCGCTGAAGCTGTATCCACCTGACAAGGTTTTGTTTGCATCGAGTTCATCTCGTTCATGCACTCGCCGTGGAACCTGTTGCCAATGTCGTAGTCCGTCAACTCTTGGGGTGATTCTGCCATGAGCATGGACCTGGTTGCGAGATGTTGCAAGCATGAGCCTGCTTGGAAAGGTAGATCAGTTACTAAAGCAAGTAAGTCTTAAATCCTACCTGGAGCATCCTGGAGCTCGAACAGGTGGCAAAACTGCAGCACTCGTTTCACTGCTTGGAGAAACGGTGAATAAAGCTTGATGAAGCACCAGGCGAGAAGCAACACCCGGTGAAGCACCCACGATGTTGTGCAGCGGCAGATGAGGGACAGAAACCTGACGGCAATGTGAATGTTTCACGATGTTTCCAGCGGGTTCCTGTCTGACCACCCGCGCGACAGAATCTAGAAGAGCCGAGACGCCCATTGAAGCTGAACTTCTTGCTCTCAATCGCTGCAGCTTCTCTGGGGTCTGCAGCCTAGACTGCAACATCGGTAGGATGGGTGTATGTCCCCAGCTTCTCTGCAGCTAAGTCAAACCCAGCCGCTGCAGATGGGCACGGGTTTTCCAGCATATAGCCTTGGGTGTAGTGACGGCAGTGACCCATACAACTCCAGCGCAGCGCAAGCTGCAAGCCGTTGCACACGGGACTGTGACAGTGGCGACAACACGTATCAGTGAAAGCATTCCTGGCAGCCCAAGGGCTAAGGAGTCGGAAAAGCGTCTGCCGATCAGAAGTAACTTCCATCCGCGCAAAGAGGTTCTGAACCTGCTCTTTCGAATCTGTCGGGTGTTGGGTGTTGGGAGCGGTACTTGTAGCTGCGTTGTTGCTGGTGCCTGAGTGATGTCCACACAGCCCATGGGGTCAGCCCGCATGGAATTAAACCAAGCTCGTGGTCTCTGGAAGCTTTTGCCTGTCAGGTCGGCATTTTGTCGTATTTTCGTCTCTCGGCAAGAAGGAAAAGAAAAGCAAAGTTGCAGGTGCATGTCATGACGATGCAGTCGTCTGGTCCAAGACCGGATTCGGCTTCGGCTTGCAAAGCAACTATCACTGACATCCGCAAGCTGCAGCAAGCTCTTAGAAGCCAGCAGCGCGCCTGAAATGTACTCGCACATGTGCTCCGCACTCTCTCGACGCACGAGGTGCCGCAACCTTGCCGCCCCACCCACACACACACACACACACACACACACACACACACACACACACACACACACACACACACACACGCCAAAAAGAATCGAAACAGAAAAGAGAGCGACTGTTGCTCAACTAGGCTAGGGGACTCTCAGCTAGGACTGCCGGAAGATCAGCAGAAGAGCTTTTGACGGTGCTTTGGTGAGCGGTGCTTTGCTGATGCTGCCCTGGCCCGTTTTGTTCTTGCCTGAGCCTGAGGCCCTGTGTTGCGGGCATTAACATTGGCTTCCACGATCCCAACACATCCCTCCACCCATCCATTCACCCGCGCCCTCCAACTTCGGAGAAGCGGCAGGATGATTCTACGTACAGTGCCAACATTCATGGCGTCCTTTCCGCTTTCAAGAATCTCTTCCCCTGAAGGAAGCCACCCATTTTTTAGGAGGCATCGCCGGTGTGAAGCCATCTCTCTTCAACTTCTTCTACCCAGATAGGCCCTTGGGGAAGATCGAATGGCAAAAACAAGTCTCGACCCAGTTGCCCCTGGCAGAATTGCTCCCTGCGTTTTCCCTCCCTCCCGTCTTCGCGGAAGCACTTGCGAAAGGTGCGGGGCGTCCTTTGGATTGCGAGCCCATCTATGCTGCCAGGGACTCCGCGTGGACAACACGCTTGCCCGATCTATGCACATCTCTGCTACAACCTTGAGATGCCCCCATCAACTCACTATTGGGTCGGCCATGGTCTGCTTTTGTCTATGTCCAACTGTAGTCGCGAAATGAAAAGAAACTAATCTCTGACAAAGCTCCGACACACCACCAGACCCGCAGGGCCTCCAAACACCTCTTCAACCTCTAAGCACCTCTAAAGGGAACGTGAGGAAGACGAGCGGGGCGGGGAGGCATGCGAGTGCCAACGCACGTGGTGGCCTCGTCAGACTGCTTGGGCACACCTTTATGAAAAAATGGAACAAGAACTTGGAAGCAGCTCGGCGCATTGCCCTTGGCCTTTGGAACGCGTGCTGTTGTTGTGACGAAGTTCCCTGGGCCCTCTCAACGCAGAATGCGTTCTGCTACGGTGGTGGGTGGATTCTGAACGGAGAACCCAAACTCCAAGAAGAGCCCCAAAAGAGAGCCCCAAGAGATTTTTGTTGCATGCACTACTCAGAGGTCAGGAACCGGAATGCAATGCAGCAGAGCCACCCCTCCACAAGTCGCATCTGGACTTCTACATGGTCTCCAAGCACAAGCAAAGTGCTGTTCTCAATCTGTAGGGAACCAAATCCCATCCTGCAACGACCATTCGGCACACATCATGCACACTGCGCACGACGCTTGCTCACGTTGCGCTGGGCCTGCCTGAGGGTCTCCATGGATGCTGTACGGCTCTTGGTCAATCCAAGCCTCAGCCCCAAAGCTTTCCGAAACATATTCAGGGACTTCATGTTCTTCTCAACAGCATTCGATGTTGGGCAAGATGACTTGGACTGACCACGCGAATCACATAGCAGAGGCGCCAAAACATGAGAGGAATGATGGCGTCTGCGTCAACGAATCCAATCTGGCAGCCTGCAAGACAAGACTCTCGCCTCACACACATAAGCCCGAAAGATGAACTATGTATAGCCACCTTCTCAGGGGCTGCAAGGGTATGACGCGATTGTCTGGTGCTGGCGTGATGCAGATTCTGCAGTGCAGGCATTGAGAGCACCTGGGTCCAGAAGGTTCAGCATGCGCTGCAGCTTGACCCGTCTTGCCGCGATCTTCGCAGGCATGATGGGTCCTTGGGCGAACAAGATGGAGAGCTGACAGCAAGGCCTAGCAAAAGGCCCCCCTTTTGCAAAAAAGGCCCCCCCATTGGAACGCGCCTGGCGAACTCTTCACGTCACCACTTTGGGCATCCCGGGAGTCCTGCGCCAAATTGCACAAACATCCGCAGACTTCACGGAAAGCCCCAAAATTTTTTCTGCGTCCACTTTAAGCGGTGTTGTTTAGCTCCTCGTCGCTTGCAGCAGCAACCTTTGCTTCAGCAGAGGTTCTGTCTTTGTGCCTCCGGCTGGGTGAATCTTGCACAGTGTCTGCTGTCTTCACAGAGCCTCACCTAGACGCTTTGCTGGCTTTGCCGTTGTGCTTGATGATTGCCGCAGCTTCCCCCTGCATAGAGAAGATGGAGAAACAGCCAGAAGCAGTGTGAGTTTAGGAGAAGAAAAAATGAAAGAAAAAACTTTCAGAGAGAGCTGAGAGTGCACTCACAGCCTGGTCCATGAAGGCCAGGAGCGGTTGGGTCTCCACCCTCGGTTTTACCACCAAGTCCTCGAGGAAGCCAGCTCGGAAGTTGCCTTTTTGCAGTTATTTTGCCAACATGGCTCGGCTGCAACTCGCCAGAGCAGATTTTGATCGGCATTCTCCAGCCAAAGGCACAAGGCACAACTATCAGCTACGTAAATGTATCATGTAACCCTCCGGCCTCGAGTTGCAAGTTCCTCTCGCTGTGCACTGCGCCGAGGGCTCAAAGTTTCCCGCCTTGGCTTTGGTCCCGCAAGGCTAGGGGAAGCCCGCTGGAAGCCGTTCTGATTGCACCTTTGAAAGGCAACCGCTTTGCTGAAGCAGAGCGCGGTCTTCTCGGTTGTGGCATGTTGCTGAGTTGGGCGGTTCGTAATTTAACTATAAAATCGTGCGTCGTGTACTCCTTACATTTTGTATTGAATTTACTCCCTTGTTTCGTTCTTGTGTTCACTGCGTTCATTCATTCGCAGGCTCATTCATTCTCTTATTCACACATCCACTACACTTTATTATGAGCCTGTGAAGAACTGAACGCCGAGGTTGGACACATGATCAATTGGTAAGGGGTGAACAAGGCTGTGGAACAAGAGTGAGAGAGATGAATGGTACGTCACGGGCCAGTCTTTTATGGTCAAGAAGGGGCCCGTGATAAACGACAAGAATATTATAAGATTTGTGACCGGACGATCACCGACGAAACGCCTTCAACTGCACTGCCTTGATAAGGGAGAGAACACACACGTACGCGCACCCACACTCTTAAGGGCCGTGGCACGGCAAGTGTTCGATGAGCTGTTGATCTACCAGCTACATAGAGCTTGACCTCTGGAAGCAGGTGCTCACGTTTTGGGGCTGACGCCTGATGTTGGTATGAGACTAGGCTACGTTGCACAGCGCTCGTTTACACTGCCAGCCAGCACACGCACGCTACGAGAAGCTCCTGGACAAGCTGCAAGTGGAGCTGCCCCATTCACTCCATTCAAAGGTCACTGACTCATCTGGAGGCCACAGTGGCCACGAACTTTGTGTAAGGCCAGCACCTGGCATTCCTCAGGCGATGTTCGAAGAGATTCGGATCCACGTCTTTCAGGGCCTCTCAGGTGGAAGGAATGAATTATTTTGACGGGTCATACATGTGAGCTGTTCGGGGTTGGCGAGTTTCTGGTGGTTGGATGTGTTGGGTGCCCAGCGCTCCTTCAATCTTATTGGTCAGCCTTTTGCTTTTTGAAGCTGAGGCGGTAAACATCAGCTGCAGTTGCACATCGACTTCTGTTCGCAACCTGTTTTGGAGTGGAGCGATGCCATATGCACCATAAGCAGCGCTGCCCCTTGCAACCAAAACGAAAGGCTGTGCTTGGCTTGCACTAGGCAGACCCCCCACGACCGGCGCTCACCGCGGCTTACCCCACTGTAGAGAGAGAACAGTTGCCGCCAGTTCAAGAAGAAAACAAATGCCCCACAAAAATGTGTATTCAAATTACTTTACTTCAAACATCCCCACCCTCTCTTGGTAGAGATACTCTAGGGTTGGGCACTCCAGGGACACTCTGGGCTGGGCACTCCGGGACACTCTGGCATTGGGCACGGGCACGAGACTGTGGAGTTGGGCACTCTAGCAGGCAGACTCTGGGGTTGGGCACTCCAGGCGGACTCTGGGGCACTCTGGCGTTGGGCACTCCAGGCAGAGTCTGGGGTTGGGCACTCCAGGGCAGGGAGACTCTGGGGCTGGGCACTCCGGGGACACTCTGGGGTTGGGCAATTCAGGAGAGTCTGGGTTGGGCACTCCAGGGAGACTCTGGAGTTGGGCACTCCAGGGACATTCGAGACTTGGGCACTCCAGGAACATTTGGGGTTGGGCACTCCAGGGACGAGCGAGGCCTAGACCGGGCAAGGAGAAGAGTTCCGGGCGAGGAGAAGAGTTTCAAATCTAACAACCCCACACCGAGGGTGGTGAACAAATTCAAACGTGAAGGATCACGAATGATGCCTCCTCCTTCAAAGACTGCGGTGTCATGGGCATCACAGGACTTGTTCTGACCGTCCTTTGGTCGCAGATGTTGACTCCAAAGTGCTAGGTGAATCGAACTGAAGGCTAAATGCAAGCATGCCACTCCAGGAAGTCATCATCATTCTCTCGGAGCCTTCCTTGCCAGGAATGCTGGGTCGACTCGCAGGCAAGTCGTCAATCGGCGACAAACAAGGCAAGAACAAACACCCCCGCAAGATGAAGTTTATGCACCAACCCACTGGGTGATGCCCACAGCGCTGAGTCCCTACAGGCTCCGGCTGACGACTCTCACACTCACACAAGGCCACCAGAGTTGCACGGAGAATCAAACAACTTGTGCCAGGTGACGCAGAACTGCGAAGCCTTGGCTGATGCACTGCCAAATGCGGCCATGTCATCTGCACATCGGGCATGAACCAAGCCGCCGATAGCTCTGAATCTTGACAGCCAAAGACGACGCCTGGCTTCAAGCCTGGCCTGCTCCGCCTGTGTCGCAACTTGCCGGCTTGCTTGTGTCAAAAGTCAGGCACTGCGATGTCTACGATACATGGCCCTGTTTTGCCCTCATCTGCCCTCATCTGCTCTCCGCACCTTGACATGCTCCAGCTGTGACTGCTGTGCTGCTCGTTCAGCCCGTGCTTTCCGGGCCGCCCTCCAACCACAAAGGGTGACGAGCTTCTGCACCATACTGGACAGATCAGCCTAACAAACCTTAACCGCCCGCCAGACAGAGATAGGATCGCCTGCTCAGTCTCGGCGGGTCTGGTGGAAGATGCGGCAGGAGCTCCTTAAGCTGTTCCTCAGGACAAGCATTGTATTGGATTCTATTTGACTCGACCCAGGCAAGCTCCACACTATCATCGATCTGCACTGGTTCGTAATCGGGCAAAGCTTCGTGCCGCGGGCAGTCCAAGCGCTGTTTTGTGAGCTTCTTGCCGAGGCACTCGTGCCTCCGCCGCTGGCCTTCATGAAGGGGGGCATACCCTAAGAATTCTAATTGAAGATCTGCAAGTGCTGTCCTGTGATGGCTCTCAGCGCATCAACCGGGGAAGTGCATGTCGCTTCGGCGGGACTTGCCCGCCTGGCATAGCAACTCTTTCAGACGAAACGCATGTATCAGGCACACGTCGTTTCATCGTCTTGAGTTCAATGGGAAAAAGTCATGTTTATCCAGATTCCTCCGCCATCTTTGCAGAGAGCTGCCTAATGCAAACCAGTTTTCGGTGCCTTTTCCGGTGCTCCGTGGGCTCCTCGCAGGTCTGCAACATTTCTCGACACACACACACACACACACACACACACGTTGCGACGACACACACGTTAAGCTTTTGTTGATTGTCAAAAATCCAATGCGGAGATTTGGAAATGACATTTGTATGTTTGGCAAAAATGAGAGGATTTTAAGTACAACATGGGTATGTTTCCTCAAAAAAAAGTCTTTATTGCTAGCAATGCTGCAGGGTCTGACATCGCCTCACAGAATGAAGACGTCCTCGACTTTGACAGTGTCTGTCTGCCCCCAGATTGGTAGCGTAGATGTGTTCCCACAAGCGTGCGAGTCTGACATTATCTCTGCTTCAATGTCTTATCGTAAAGTTGACGGGCTGTGTATTGTACTTGTATCAAGAAGAAGGACCATTTGGCTTATGGTTATGTCGTGATAGCAAAGGCATCTCGAAACATGGTGTACTCAGTAGCACGAATTGTATAGAACTAAACACGAACGACCTAATCAACACTTCGGATCAAATTTTGGCTATGATATTTACAAAGTAGACAAATTAATAACAATAGAAATATTGATAAACAAAAAGAATTCACAGGTACTCAATGGCTAGGTTATTCAGGAATGGATTTGTGCCTCTCCCGTCTACACTTATCAAGAACCAGAATTAATCGGGGGCTCCGTTTCAGATTGATCTGCACTTTTGGTCTGTACTGGTTCTGCCGTATGGGCTTTGTAGAGATTCTAGGGCTGGGGTCTGCCAGAATCCTCGCGAAAGGGCTGAAAGGCTGAAGCTTCCAGGAATCCGATGGGGTCGGCCATAGGGGACAAAACTCCTGCACGGCTGCCGCACGACCTCCTCGTCTCGGATGGAGGTCGCGGCATGGTGCCATAAGAGGAAGAACGAATAACTAACCGTCGGTTCCTGCGTGTGTCACATCGGTTCCCGGTGACCAGTGCCCAAGTTTGGACTTTCGTCCCTGCAAGAGCACTCAATCCGAGCCATGGAAAACCTAAAGTTCCTACACAAAGCTCTCGCTCATAAGCCTCAGCTGTCTCATTGATTCCTGGTGGGGGCGGCTCCTTCCTTCCCCCAAAAGCATCGTAAATTCACAAGAGACTCCCAGGATGCCGCTCAGGCAGGGGAGAAAAGACGGGAGCGAATCAAAAAAAGGAGGCGCCCCCTGTTCTCATTAATCGTTTGCCGATGACGTCTCCCGAGATAAATTCTTCTGTGGCCCGCCCAGTGGTGCGGTTGAGAATAGGAAGTCCTCCATCAGCGAAGATGCATCCCTGCACAGCAGGTCATTGAGTTGGATGAGGCATCAGCTAGCACCGCATACACTCACATGCTGTGTTCCCATGCCAGGTTGATGGACCCATTGAATGGCGGCCACCTCGGCCAAGGATCTGTGTCACCTGCATCCTCATCGCCCAAGCCATCCGGAAACTCGATCCTCGGGTGGCATGGAAAGTGTTGCACCCCCGCCCTCGACTGAATCTGCCTGTTCTGTTCCTCCCCTCTGGTCAAAGAACTACCTCTCTCTTTTCGGGACTTATCCCTTCCGCCCAGGCCAGGGGTGTAGCCAAGCCCTGGGCCCAGCCCTACTGGTTCTGTCTTTCCTTTTGTTGTGCGTCAATTGGCTTTTTTTGGCTTACGGGCGAAGGAGCGCGCAGCAAGCTGAGAAACGTTCCATCCTTCTGAGCCTGATTGTGAAAGTTTGCCGACTTCGAGCTAACATCCGGCCCCCAACAAGGAAGGGGGAATCAGGAGGAGGAGGAGGAGGAAACAGGAGACAAGAGGGGAAGCCCCGGTACACTTTGAATCCGCCGAAAGCTTCAGGAGGAGGAGGGCAAGGAAGAAAAGGAGGAAGAGAAGAGCGAAGAGCGTGATGGAGGAGAGAGCAGGCAAGTGACACAGTGGCAACAGGAAGCGGACAGGGGGCAATGAGGTTCCCTCCTTAAGAAGGAGGAGAGCGTGCCGGTGGAGCCTAGAAGTCCTCCTGATTGCTCTTTTGTGTCATCCTTGACAGGCGCCCCCAGCTCAGTTCACGTTTTCAGCGCCAAAACCCCCCCACTTTTCGTCTCCACCTAACAACCCCCCACCGCTTGTGTTCGGCTCCACCTAACAACCCCCCACCGCTTGTGCACGGGAAGACCCTTCAGAATCCATTTGTGAAGGCATCCCTGATGCCACATGTTGCCACCGCACGGGATCCAAGTCAGGTTGTTTGCATCATTGAGGTCCTAGCATGTCCTAGCCATGACAAAGAACATGACGAATAAAACTCCCTCACCCAACGTCCACGCGCGTGGTTGCCTCCGGGCCGCAAACTCCCGAGGACTGGCGCCCTATTCAGTGGGTCCGCATGGCCTACTTAGCGAGGCCTTACGGGCTGCCTCAACCTGCATCCAGCATGTTGGGGTGCTGAAGCCGGCTCTCTCGTTGCCCACAGCCGCACAGCATTCGCCTACTTGTGCTACAAGTAATCAAGTGTAGGCCGCTTTCTTTTTTTGCACTGCTGTTTCTTCTGTCCTAAACTGCAGAACACGTGATAGCCGTGTCTCAGCTACCCGCTTGGGCCCTCCTTTTAAATTGCATGGGATCCACTATCCAGCACTCGTGCAGCAAAAGCTTTCTGGATTTAGGCATGCCGTTTGCAGACGAGATTCCAATCTCCGAAGCTGGCCAGGAAATCCTCCGGAACCTTCCCACAAAAAACGATTCAGCACGAGAACCAACGCCTGCAATAGCCCGACTTGTGCCAAAAATGGACCACCCCCGCAACATGCTGCCACGAATGCTGGCAAGGGTCAAAATTCTTCAAAGATCCGACGAATTGATCAGGACCGTCTGCCGGATCCGGGGTTGGTGCCTCCGTCGAAGGCAGCTGCTGCTAAACCCTCGCTCTCTGAGCTTCCACTGCCTTGTTGAGACGGCCTGCGCAGACCACAGCCCGCGCATTGCCTGCGCAGGCAGATCGTGGGCTGATGCTCGCCAGCATGCGTCAGCTGAAAAGTCCGAGAGCAAAACCATCATGAAGCTGCAGTGCTGCCTTGAAACCGTTGAATCTTGTTCCGGAGCGGTGGCCACTCGGCTTTGTCGTCCTGGCCATCAGAACAATTCAATGGGGAAGGCATGCCTGCACAAGCTAGTCAACTAGCCGGCACCCTTCGTGCGCTGTGCCTTCTACCCACCGAAAGATGTCAATCCAGGGACGCAGTTTAATTAATTCGCTCCTAATGCAGCCGAAGGGGTGCGTCTTGAGGACAGCTCGGGGGTAAGCCCTTTGCTCCCTGGGAGCTCCCACAAGCATGCTCTTTGCTCCCTTTCAAGCTCCTCTTCCTCCTCAAAGTCCTTTACATTCTGTCACCACCCTAAAGCCGTTGACTCGTCGACTGGACGCCCGCACCCACACCATCAAGCACGATCAGCAGGCCCCAACCGAAGGGAAGCGAAAGCGTTTTTCGACCCTCAACCCGCACATTTTCACCACACCCCACATTCTCCCATCATATCATCTGTGTTGGCCTTGGACTTGGGTGACTTGGGGCTCGAAGCGCTCGAAGCACGGCTCACCTCTGCGGGAGAAGCACTTCTGGTATCTCTTAAGTGTGCACACAGGTCACACGGTGTGTCACAGGGCACAAAGGCCCGCCCTCTGGCATCCTATCGCCCTATGTGCTGTCGGGTCTCTGCCGGCGGCGGCAAGGATTTGGACATCGAAGACGGCCGGTACGACTCACGGCGACTCGTTCAAAACGAAAGCGAATGCCAACAAAAGAATGTCCAAGCGAATGTGCACAAGTCAGGCCTCTGCGCTTCTTGCGCTTCTTGCGCTTCTTGCGGTTCTTGCGCTTCTTGCGCTTCTTGCCCTTCTATGGCCGACTTGTGCTATTCCTCAGCGATGCATTCATCTGTTGTAAGCTTGAACTCTAGGAAGAGGCGGCAACAGTGCACATTGGCACAGTTCATTCAAGACATCTTTTTGCCGATGGCTGCGGACAACAAAACGGAGCACAAAAACAATTGGATGCACGGTGTGCTGGCGAAGTTGCGCACCGCGGCCTCGGAAGCCTGTCAGGCGGCTTCTCCCCCTACCACTCACCTCCTTGAGAACACTGAAGCTGATTGAAGGTATTTCCGAGTAAGGTTGGGCAAAGTTCTGTCAGTTGTCATGTCATCAGGAGCGGGAGCATGGGCATGAGCATGAGCATGGCAGCATGGCTCTCAAAATGTCGTTGCATGCATCGGCTGTGACACTGATCCTCTCAAGTTTCCTTGAGCCCGACCTGGGCATCGCATGGCAGGGGCCTGCTTTGCAGATAGCCCGCTGCCGCCACTGCCCATTCTCGAGCCAAAACAACCATTGTTTCCACACATACTTCCTGATCCCTGGTGTGTGCAAATACAATGCATTTGGGTTTCCTCGGTACAAAAGAATCCCGGCTTTAGGCCACCCGCGCTTGCACCTTTTTCACATGATTTGCGTGCATTTCGAGGCCGCTCGCAAGTTAGACTCCGACTTCGTCAGCTCCCCTGGTCTTTGCAGCCTCTGTCGAAGGCCCGCTGCTCTTTTCCAACAGGCTGCGATGTCGCTGAGCTGCCTCCACACATCCCCCCAATTCAAAACACAAGCAGGTAGCATCAGGTGACGCAGCACATGCAGCACCAAACTGGCAGGACAGTTCGTAGTTTTTGAACCACCTGCCGAAGAAGTTCAATCTGGTCTTTGAACGAGTCATCCACCATCCTCAACGCCCACCTGCATGCAAAAGTGCAGGCGGTTTTGGCACGAAGCGTCGTGATCAGTAGGCCGTGTCCTGAACAAATGGTATGGCAATCGCTCCAAGGCACATGGCCGCAGGTGGTGCCGCAGAAACTGTAGGAACCGCAGGCTCCGGGGCCACGGGTGCCTCAGGCGCTGGTGCCTCCAAGGATGCGCATACGGAGTGACCGGAGAAATGAGGGCAACTGAGGAACCTTTCTCGAATCCTTACACCCCGAACATCCCGAACATCCCGAACATCGAGCGAATGCCCTCTCTCTCAGGCCTGGCCCCATGGGAAGGCCTCTCGCGGAGCGAAGGTGGGGAAGGGGTTGTGCCTTTGCAAGAGAGCAGCTTTGAGTCTGTTGAGGCGTGCTTCACTGCGACTAAGGCGAAAACGGAGACAGCCATGGAGGACAATAGCCCGGAGGTGGCATCATCGGCATCATACCGTACCCGTATGCATGAGGACCCGGATGTGGGAATCCTGGCAGCGCCTTGCAAGTGCTCCACTTTAGTGCTCCGCTAGTGCACCTCTCTGAGGCTCTGAGGCCTGCTCCCAAGGTGAAAACCCCCAGGGACCGGAGGCTGAAGTCGCCCAGCCTGAACCATTAACGAAGAGCTCTAGGCATCGCTCGGCCTCGAGAGATTCTAGATGCCTGGGGCTCGTGGGGCATCGACGAGCAAGTCGCACTGAACTCCAACATCAACAGGTACACTGGCCTGCAACAGGTGAACAGTAAATTCCACGTTTGCGTCGCGGGGAACTCCCTGAAACCATTCACAACGCATTGCGGCAGGTCGAGGCATCTTGCCGATGGTGCAAGAGTCCGTCACTTGCTGGTGCCTGAACTTCCGCGTCCCGCATCGAACACCTTGCAATGGCTTGTTCGATGCCGACACTTCCGCGACTGATGGTGTAAACCTCCACTACTGACCAGCCTGACTGGAGGAGCACGGTCTCTGAGCAAGCCTGGACTTGGGCCTGCATCGTGCACGACCAAAGGTTCCTGGCAGGCTCATTGCATCCCTTTTGGAAGCATCATGGAAGTGCAACTGAACCTACCACCTCCACTCCAAGAGGAAGGGAAAAGCCCTAGAGCCCACATCAAGAAAGACACACGAGGAAGTAGTGACTGGATTGGGTAATGCAGAGCTGTGTTTGAAGTGTTTGAGTTGGGGGTGGGGCTTTCAGGGTTCGCGGCTCAAGACCCCTGCGCGGCGATAATTAATGCTTATGAGTTTGGGGCTTTTTCATTTGGGGATTTCTGTCCACCATCTGGGTCCTGCTCAGCCTGACTCTTCGGCTCTGTCCTACAAAGTCAGGCGATCTCAGAAACTTCAGACAGAAGTGACAACAAATCACATCAAGCTTGTCAAACCCCTGCAAAACATCTCTGGAACCTACATTTTGTGTTGGTACGTCCAGGAGTCCTCACGAACGAGGCCGTGGAGGTAGGCGCAGCCGCAACCAGTGGGGCTCTCTCGCTAGGAGCAGCAGCAATCGTCACTGGAGCTGTGGCCACGGCTGGGGTTGTGCCCGCGATGGAGGTTATGCCCACGGCGGAGGTTGCGCCCACGGCAGTGTGTGCGCCCACGGCAGAGGTTCTGCCCACGGCAGAGGTTGTACCCGCGGCGGAGGTTGTACCCACGGCGGAGGTTGTGCCCACGGCAGAGGTTGTGCCGACGGCGGAGGTTGTACCCACAGCGGAGGTTGTGACTGCTGAGGCTGCTGAGGCTACCGTTTCTTTCGGAGCGGAAGCTGCGGTCGAGGCAGGCATCCCTGCGGCTCCTGCCCGAGGCGTCTGGACCCACGCACCGCCCAAGGCACTGCCAGTGCTTGAAGCCTGGCGGGCATGTTACATCAGCCAAAGCTCGCAGGCATAGACCAAAAAGGTTGGGCTGGTAGTAGGCGTACGGGCCACGGTTTGCTGCATGCATAGTTTTCTCTGTTTTTAGAGTCTTTTTTTGTGTTTTGCAGGGGGAGGGGCGGGGGTGGGGGGGGATAAGAACGTCATTCACACGCAACAAAACTCTGGCGTTGACAGCGTTTTCGCCTCTTTGTACAACCTGCTGTGCAAGGATGTGGAACAATACACGTTGTCACAAGCGCCCATGCCTTTTGGCCGACAACAATGTCCAAAACATTTCGAAACACTGGTACTTGCAGCGTTTCGCTTCTTTGTACAACATACTGCGCAAGGATGTGGCAAAAGCGTCCATGCCTTTGGCGACCATGCCCAAAACACTGGTATTTACAGCGTTTTGGGCTCTTTGTGCGCACAGATGTGGAACGAAACAGTTGTCACAAGCGTCCATGCCTTTGGCGACCATGCCCAAAACACTGGTATGTGCGATTCCGAGTTAAGCGACCTGCTGAAAGTAGGTGTTTGTAATGTAACTTTCCGGGTAGATATATCCCTGATTTTTGCCTCACGATTTATCTCCGCAAATCCCTCAAATATGTAAAAACACTGGCAGGCGTGGGTCTAAACGCACCTCTTCTACACATTGAACCGTGCGCCCAACCGTGGTCCGGACACCTGTTAGTACGAGCTAAGACTGGCTAAATCAGATTTTACTAAACGGCCCTTACTCCAACAAATATTTCCCGACGTCGAAAACCGAACGAATATCCACATCATACATGCTTAGGGAAAAGGATAGGCGCACTTCTCGAGAAGTTTGCCCGAGCCATCATTATTTTTCGAGACTCACCAGCAGCCACAAGCTCGCAATGCACACTAATGAAAATGTGAGTTGCAAGAAATGACACTGAACACTCCGTCAGGCCGCCCTGTCGCGGACGAGCTCATGGCAGAGACACCACACGACTCAGAGTTGGCATGGGGGTGACTCCGGGTATCCATAATCCCAGAGATGGTTCTAAGAAAGATCGCTCTTGAACGTGCTGATCTTTGCACACACGCAACAAAAGCAGCGGTCTGTTTTCGCTGCTCTGCCAGACTCTGCCATGGGGCTGAGCACATAAGGACCCAGCCAAGATGCAATGAACGTCTTCGCTTGGAAGCTATCCGTCACTTATCAATCATTACGTATCGAAAAAGGACGATACAAGGCTGTTGACTGGGTCTCGCGCCTCGAAGTCCTCTTCGTAGTGCATCGAGGGCCGCCGCTTTGCAGTGGTGCTCTCCAGCGGTCCCGGCTTTATTGTTGCCTGGAGACTAGCAATTGGCAGGTTCTCAGTGTCTCCAAAGGCTCGACTTACTCGGGTGCCTGGCCACCGAGGGATGCAGGGCCTGGAAACTCAGTTGTGGAAACTTGAAATGGACACAAAGACAGCAGACACTCGGCATGAACGTGGGCGTGAAGCCAAAAATCTTCCGCCTCTCTGCGCTCCACCAGGCTGGGCGTTCTGTGCCGTTTCTTTGGTGGGAAGCAAGTCGCTCATTTGCCGGACGTTGCCGAACACGCTGCCAGGTTCTGGAGATCTGGAGGATGCACTCTGACTCTCTGTTGATACGGGAGCCGGAGAAGGTGAGCGAGACCTCGACTCGGGCGGCCGTGAAGTTGGAGAGTGTGAATGGGGTGAGCGGAGTGAGCGGGAATGGGATGGCGATCGTGGCGATTGCGATCTTGCGGCGGACTGGGAGGGAGAGCGCGACCTCGCAGACCTCGCAGATGCGGAGGGGCGCGACGAGGAACGAGAGGCTGAGCGCCGCCGTGCCACTGGACTGCCACTGCGGCTGCCGCTGCGGCTGCCGCTGCGGCTGCCACTGCGGCTGCCACTGCGGCTGCGTGGGCTAGCCGGTGAATTCGGCGACGGAGAGTCGGAGGGGTCGTTAAGGGGCTTGGGGGGCAAGGCGGCAGCTGGCTTCCCGCCACCAAATTGTGCAACTTTGGCAGGAGATCTGGTGATAACTGCGGGTTTGGATGCCGGTGAGCTTGGGGGGCTGGCCGACTCTGATTCAGATGCTTTGGAAGGTTGCGGGGGTGTGGCGGGTGTGGCACGAGCTGGGGTCGTTTTTTGCGGCAACTCCTCATCGCTGTCGCTGGCCTGCGAACATTGCACACCCAACAAACACTCTGACACACACATCTAGGAACGATTCAATCTGCACATGTACCTCCAGAAATTTCTGGAAGTCCATCGCATCACGCTTTGGATTCGGAGTGGCCCGTGCGCTGGCAGCGCTGCCAATGCCAAACCTGTCGGTTTCGGTACTCTCTGGCGCATATCGCACGTGCATTCAGCCAACGCTTGACAAGCACACATGATAGCACATACACAGCAAGCCAGTGCAATGCAAATTACGTACGTAAATACAACATGCAAAGCACAAGCAGAGCAGAGACGCTCTGAGACGCTCTCCTGCTCAGGTCGTCAAGTCCACCTCCCAGTGCTGTCCTTCGCACGGCGGCACCTGCCGGGCAATCCGAACCCAAAGCACTCAAACGCTTCGTCCTGCAAGGCCCCTGCAAGACCCATCCAAGGCCAGCTCTTTGCTGAGAAGTTGCCCCATGACCCACGAAGAGTTCCACAGCGCACCGAATCAAACAAATCGAATTTTGTCAAAATTGCCAACCACGCATTGCAACCTCCCCTTCAGCTCACTTTCATCTGGCTGCCTGCAGACTTTGCTGCAGTCGTTGCCATTGCTGCCGAAGCCTGCACCTTTGGCTTGGCATTTGGCTTTGACCTCACGACAGGAAAGTCTGCAAACGGGTGAGGGTGTGGATCAAGGGCGTGCCACATGCCTGACACTACCGTCTCATGCAGTCAACCTGCATATGACAGTCTTGAAAGCTGGACTGCCACCACGACCTTTGAACGTTGTCAGTGCATGAGCTGGCAAAAAGCTCAGCGCCAAAACAAAATGATCATCTGTCGCCACCCCGAGTCGGCGGGCGGGAGGGCCAAATTAATTCAGAGTGTAGCGACGTTTTGTGGTGAACGTCTTTCCTGTGTTTCCCACTACCATGGCAATCACTACGATGCACTGCACGCACTTGTGCAGTCAACCGTCTCATGAACCTCCCACGCATTAAGGCAAGTTGGGCTGCCGCCGGCATGACCTTTGAACATTATCACTGGCGTGAGAGCTCATCTTAAGAGTTTTGAAAATCTATAGCTGCCCAAAATCTTCCCGAAGAGGCAGCTGACAAAGAGCAACGGGAGAAGGCCACAGCCAAGTTTCGACGATCATAGCGTGAGAAAAGCCAAGCAAGAGCATGGAAAAGCTGCAAGTAATTTGGATGGCCTGAGTATTGATTGTTGCCCGGTGGTGCAGGCCCCTCTTGTCTCGGTACAGTTTCTCTGGCATGCGGCAGAGTTGTGCCCATCAATAGATAGAAGATAAGAATAGCACTTTTGACACACGAACTGGACAAACGTCTGCGACAAAGGTGCGGTGTGTGCGTGAGGTAGCAAAAAGAATGCACTGATTGTCTTCTTTCACTGGTGCCACATCTTCTGGATTTGAATCGTCAAGGCCCAACTTTGCCGCGCAGATGATGGAAGTGCGGCCACGTGCAACCAAAAAGCTGTTACAAGGCGATGAGAAGCCCAACCTGCGAAGAGCATCGAACAAGACAAGCAAACCCCCCGCGACACACGACCAGAGAAGTCCGTAGCATCTTTACCCCGACCTGCCATCCAGGCATACAAGACCACCTCCTCTCGTAGCTCAATCCCCGATACAAAGTTCCCTGCGCGCTGCACCTGCTACTAGTCTCGGAATGATGCGGCATGATGATACGGCGTACTTTTTCAGGAACTCCCTGCTGCATCATCTCCCTGTGTTCCCGTACATACTTCCCACACAAAGGTTATTAAAGCCTCACTTCGTGCACACACCAAAAGCCCAGCCAACCAAAATCATTGCGGCAGGGATGGGCGACCGCGTCGGAGTACGCACGAGTACGCCCGAGTACGCACGAGTACGCCCGAGTACGCACGAGTACGCCCGAGTACGCACGAGTACGCCCGAGTACGCACGAGTACGCCCGAGTACGCACGAGTACGCCCGAGTACGCCCGAGTACGCCCGAGTACGCACGAGTACGCACGAGTACGCACGAGTACGCCCGAGTACGCACGAGTACGCCCGAGTACGCACGAGTACGCCCGAGTACGCCCGAGTACGCCGAGTACGCACGAGTACGCACGAGTACGCACGAGTACGCACGAGTACGCCCGAGTACGCCCGAGTACGCCCGAGTACGCCGAGTACGCCCGAGTACGCCCGAGTACGCTCGAGTACGCCCGAGTACCCCCGACTACGCACGAGTACGCACGAGTACGAGTACGCACGAGTACGCACGAGTTTGTTTCAAAGCATGTGCATACATTGTTGGAAATCCATCATGCGAAAGTCGTGTTTGCAAAATGCGGGGGGGGGGGGCTCCCCAACCCTGCTTTATTTTTAGCCGCGCAAGCTTGCTTCAACGCATATGCATACATTTTCGGCAACCCATCATGCGAGCATCGTGTTTGCAAATGGGGGGGCTCCCCCCCCCCCAACCCCCCCGTTTTTTTTGAGCCAAGCAAGCTTGCTTCAAAGCATATGCCATATGCATACATTAAAATGTTGCAAATCCATCATGCCAGAATCGTGTTTGCAAATTTGGGGGCCTCGCCCCCCCCCCCCCACCCAACCTCCCCGCTTTATTCATACATTTTGAAAACCCATCATGCGAGAATCGTGTTTTGCAAATGGGGGGGGGGGGCTGCGCTCCCTCCCAATCCCCTCCTTTGTTAAAAGCCGCGCAAGCTGTCTTCAAAGCATATACATACATGCCGTTCGTTCGTGCAAGTCCAACAAAGTAAACCCTATATTTGTTACGTAAGAAAACCTCTACAGCAAACCTCTATGCATCTCTCTGGTTTAGAAGCCCTATGTGTCCTTCGATTTTAAACCTCTTTTCCTTTTGTTTGGAAAACTCTTTCTGTTTCTGTTGGTAGTACAACCTCTAGTTTCTTGTGTATTGCATAGGCAAACCCTCTTTCCCCGCCTTCTATGGATAACCTCTATCTCCTTTCACTTTTAACATGGTAAAATCCTACCTTTCACGGACAAAACCCTAAGTTTCCTTGGTATTTGAATAGGAATACCTGCATTCCCTTTGTATGTTAAGAATAGAACCTGTATTTCCTTTGTACTCTATGCGGAAAACCTCTATTTCTTTAGATTTCAAGAGGAAAACCTCCATTCTCTTCGGATTTTGATGGGAAAACCGCTATTTTCTCTGGATGTTAATAGGAAAACCTCTTCTCTTTGGATTTTAATAGGAAAACCTCTATTTTCTTTGGATTTGAACAGGAAAACCTCTATTTTCTTTGGATTTCCTCTATCTTGCAATAGGGAGGCCCCCCCAAAAAAAAAAAGTTGAAAGGCAAAAAACAATTAAAATAATTCCTCGACCATAGGTTTACAGCAATGTAGACTTAGCAAGAACCCTGGATACCCTCACGCACGAGTTTTGACCATCTGCAGACTCCCAGCGACCTTTGCCACGAAAAGGATGGCCATAGCTTCTTGTGCGGAACCCAAGTTTGAAGCACACAGGTTTTTCCTTTATTTGCCTCAAGGGGTTTTGGAAGAACCCAAGTTTAAAACATACAGGTTTTTCCCCTTTTATCCTTAAAAGGCTTAGGCATTGCCTGGGTATGCCCTTACAGGGGGTTAAAATGAAGACAGGGGGGGGGGGGGTGTGCAGCTTAAATAGGGTCTATTTGGAAGCTGAGACTCGGGTTTTAAAGAGGAAATAAGGCCCCAAAACGTATGCTTATTCACAAAAGCCATCTGCCAAATAGACCCTGTTGTCGTTTCTGGGGGTTCTGGGGCAAGGAATTAAATATTTTAAATAATTTAAATCCGAAAGGGGCGTTTCGGATTTAAATCATTTAAATTATTTAATTCTGGGAAGGGGGGGGGCCTGGTCGGGCCTGGCCCCCCCCCCCCTCTTCGGATTTAAATTATTTAAATTATTTAAATTATTTAATTCCGGGGGGGGAGAATTAAACAATTTAAATAATTTAAATCCGAACCCCTGCTTTCGGATTTAATTTATTTAAATTATTTAATTCCCCCCCCGGAATTAAATAATTTAAATAATTTAAATAATTTAAATAAATTAAATACGAAAAGGGGGGGGGCCAGGCCCGGGCCCCCCCCCCCTTCCCAGAATTAAATAATTTAAATAATTTAAATCCGAAAGGGGCGTTTCGGATGTAAATTATTTAAATTATTTAATTCTGGGAAGGGGGGGGGGCCTGGTCGGGCCTGGCCC